AGTGAGCACCTTAGGCAGGAGTTAGAGGAATACTTCAGCTGGGTTTTAAGGGATGAATAGGAGCTTGCTGGTGAGCTGCAGAGGGACCAAGAACATGACAGGCATGGGTGTTGTAAAAGGGCCTGTGTGAGTGGTTGGGGTGGCGGCTGAAGGACTGCCTGTGGAAGGTCTGCCTGTGAGTGAATGTGACTCACACTGCCAGTGTGTGCTAGGAGTGGTGTACCCTGTGTAGATCAGGAGGGTTCAGGTGAGAGTGGCCAGTGGTGGTGAGGCCCCATCAGGGACCTTTGCTGTTCCTGGGCTTAGAAGACTGGAGCTGGTTGGGTGGCTACTTCCGAGTTGGAAAGACGATCAAGTGCTTGGGTAGGAGAACAAGGCAGGGTGAGGCAGTAGCTGGGGGCTGAGATGGTGCTCAGGAGAAGACGTGGGGACGAGCAAGGGCTTCCCACTGGCCACAGGTATACTTCTATGTTGATGAAGGGACCACACAGAGTCAGGACTTGGTCCTAGGCCAGTGCCTCCCACCCCTCTGCGCCTGTCCGTCTATTCCCGGCCATCAGTGCACAGAGCCTTCCTTGCAATCAGAGGGTGCTTAATGGATGTTATTATCAAATAAGAAAAACTGATGATCCCATTGAAGCCCTGAGTGTGGAAGCTGTGGATCTGCTGAGCTGGCCTCCGTCCACTCCTCCTGCTAAGGCGGGTGTTTCTCAGGAATGGTGTGTCCCGTGGGCCACATGGTGCTTCCCGTCCCTGCCCTCCACTGCTGAGAGGCCTGCGGGAAGCTCTGCTGTGCCAGTATAGGTAATTAGCAGCTCTGGGGATCTGGAGTGCCAGTTGGGTGCCCAGGTGGTGCTCAGCCCTGGACAAAACTCTGCTTCTAATGGTTCACATCTCTGCTACTTCCTGTGTGGGTTCTGTGTGTATTATTGTGCTTGTGGATCTTGGGCTGTGTGTTTCGTGGATGGGGGACTGTGGTCTACTGTATCTGAGTTTCTAATGTTTACCTAGCTCCACCCTTGGCCCCCTAGAGGTGAAGATTTGCTTGAGAAGCGAGGCTAACTAGGCCAGGAGGCCACAGTGGAAGATGGCTTCCTATTGACATCTACTCTCTGGTGACTTTCTAGAATATTCCCACTGCCACTTGGCAGTGTTGTTTGAATGTCAGGGTGAGCTTTACCAGGAAGCAGGCCTTGGTGAAGCAAAAATTGAGGAGGAGGCTGCTGCTAGTTCTCCAGGGCCTGGAGGCCTGGGGTGTATGGGGTACTGGGAATGCAGAGGGGCATTTTGTCCCCAACCCCTCCTGCAAAGCTGGAAAGAATTTATTACATCCTAAAATTAAATAAAGCAAAACGCCCTATCACAGCAGGCCTGGGAAAGGTTATCACAGTGATGGATATAACTCTTGTACCTTTTATTGTGATTTTTACTTTGAATTGTTTGTGAAGGGACATCTGCTATTTCCTTTTTTTAAAAAAATTTTATTTTAAAGAGAATAAAACCAAGCAAAATAAAACAGAATAAAGCCAATCAAAACAAGACAGTGTATGTGACACCAGATTTCAAAACAAGATAATAGGAAATCAACCATGGTTACCATAATGCTTTTTGTTGTCTTCAAAACAGCTGCCCATACCTTGAGACACAGAAAAAAAAAAAATCAAACAAAACAGAAACAGAATAGAACGATTAAAAACAAAACTGAATACAATACAGGACTTCAAAACAAGATAATAGTAAATCCAAAATGGCTGCCATAATATAGCTTGTTATCTTCGAAATAGCTGCCCATGTCATCAGATACAGCAAAATTAAACAAGATAAGACAGAATAAGACCCAACCAAACAAAACAATGAGAATGATGCAGGATTTTGAAACAAGATAATAGGGGGTTAACAAATGGCCACCACCTTCAGAGAAGAGTCCCCCCTTATATACTACATAGCATATTGTTATCCTCTTAGTAGATGATTAGACCACCAGCTTTAGGCCTGCAAAGTCACTGAAACCCAAAGCACTTCAAGCATTAGGTTGTATTTTACCTCCCTAGCCATCATCACGGCCTGTGTGTCTCCAGAGCAGCTTGTCACTTATGGGGACCATGGGGGGACATTGGCTCTTTTGTGTAGCATCTGGCTGAATCCCAGTCAGCCTGTGCATGGCGCTGACTCACAGGAGGTCTTAGCTTCTTGTTGACTTCTCATTCTCCTCCCTTGCAGTCCATGAATGGCACCAACTCATGGGAAAGGGCTGGCGTCTGGCTCTCCCCCAGTCAGCCTGGCCTGGTGCCAATCCGCTATTTTCTTTCTTTCTTTTTTGGTTGTTACTAAGGCTTGAACCCAAGATTTTCACAACATTTTTAAAAGTTTAAAAAAAATTTAAGACAAGGTCGCAATTAGTTGCTAAATTGCCCAGACTGGGCTCAAAATTGAGCTACGGCTGCCAGTGTCTCTGAGAATCCTGGAATTATTGGCCTAAATCAAAGTGCCTGGGTTCAAGTTCTTTCTAAAACAAAAGAAGAAGTTTCAAGAAGAGCACAAGGACCTATCACCCAGTGTGTCAGAGTTGGCTGGGTGTGGTAGTGCACACCTGTAATCCCAGCCTCAGGAGGCTGAGGCAGGAGGATCCCTGCAAGTTTGAGGCCAGCCTGGACAGCATAATGAATTCAAGGCCAACCTGAACTGCATAGCAAGACCCTATCTTAAAAAACAAAAAACAAAACAAAAATTAGAGGTGCCTCATCTTTCTTTTAAATAAAGAAAGCCGTGTTGAAAGTGTCCTGTCAATCTGCCTTCTTGCTCCTAGAGTACAGGGTCTCACTGCGTGGGATTTTGTTCCCAGAAAACTTTTGAAAATGTCTGGAGACGTTTTTTAGGTGTTACACTGGGAAGAAATATTGTCATCCAGTGGGTGAAGACCAGCAGGGCTGCCAGACATCCTGGAATGCACAGCCCCGCAGTGGAACCGACCTGAGTGTCACCAGTGCTGAGGCTGAGAAGCCCTGCTTCAGAGGCAGCAGGACCAGGGTTTTAGTACGTGGCATTTTCATGTGGGGTTTTCTTTTCTTTTTGAGTGCTGGGTATTGAACCTAGGGCCTTATGCATGCTGGGCAAAGAATGTACCACTGAGCCATAGTCTCATGTCTTTTAAAAATTCTTATTTTAGCTAGGCATGGTGGCATAGGCCCGCAATCCTAGTTCTGGGAAAGCCAGATCGGGAGAATCACGGTGAGTTCGAGGTGTGCCTGGGCTACACAGTAAGTTCAAGGCCAGCCTGAACTACATAGTAGACCCTGTCTCAAACCAACCAACCAAAAAAAGCCCCTAACAAAATGTTGCAATGGTTGATATATTGTGTCAACTTGAAAAGTTTAACTAAACCAGTGACTCAGCAGGGGGCCTGGGGCCTCACTTTATAAACATCCTGAGCCTGTGCAGGAGGAGGACACACAGAGATGTGAGTGCTACACCAGCCCTAGAGGATGGTAGCCTGCTTACAACAGAAGGGGAGAAAAGAGGCTGGCTCCCCACGCCCTCCATTTTGCTCTTCCTGCCTTTCCTGTCTTCTGCCGCCTTGAACTGTTGCCCCTCTGCCTTGCCACCCTGCTTTGGAGCCAACTGATTTTGGACTGAAACCTCCACACACTGTGAGCTAAATAAACTTTTCCTTCCTTAATCTTGGGCATCAGATATTTTGTCTCAGCAACAAGAGAACAGTAACCAAGACAAATATATTTTTAAAATTTTGAGACAGACAGCATCTTGTTCAATTGCCCAGACTGGTCTTTTTCTTTTTCTTTTTTTGAGACAAAAATGCAGTTTTTGCTATGCAGTTTAGGCTGGCCTTGAACTCACTTTGTAACCCAAGGCTGACCTCAAACTTGCAGCCATCCTCTTGCCTAAGCCTCCTGAGTGCTGAGATTATAGCATGCACTATCATGCCCGGCCCCAGGCTGGTCTTGGTCTTGGCATCCTCTTGCTTTACCCTCTGAATAGCCAGGCTTATAGACATTGCTACCTCACCAGGGGTTCCCATCTGTTTGGAAGCACATACAGAGAAAGAATATTTAATAGTACATAGGTTTATGTCTCTAAAATTATGTCTGTGCCCTGAATGCTGCAACTTGTTATTTTCAAGAACATTGTAGTGAACATGTATGCTGTTGCATATGGATCTAGCATTTATTTATTTAGTTAGTTTTCTGAGATAGGCTGTTACTATGTATTTCATCATGCCCAGCATGAATCTAGCTTTTTAAACTTCTGTGCCTTCAATACTTTATATATGGGCTATGCTGTGTTTATTTATTCGTCTGTTGATGGCACCCAGATTGTTTTTATATATATGTTACGTATGCTAGGCAAGCCTCTACTTGTGAGCCTTACCTTGGTCCACTTTGGTGTCTGATTGTTTCTGACCATTTTGCTCCAGGCTGGCAGAAGTATGGGTGCATGTACTCATGTGTGGGATCACTGGGCTGTGGAGATCTGGCAACACCCTTTCTCAGGTTTCTAAACCCTGTCCACACCCTCAGCAAACACTCCAGGTGATCCTTTGCTATGTTTTGGTGGGAAAGGGCCTGTTACTATTTTGTGGTTTGCTTTTACCTGATTCTTGGTGAAGCCAAGTATCTCTTCACATGTGTTTTGATGTCCTGAGTTTTCTTTGGGCCTCTGAGATCCTTGTCCTGCAGGGTCCCAGTCACATGGAGTACAAGATGCCCATCTTCAGAGTTGCCGAGCTCCTTGTCCAGTGCCACGCCTGCCGCTGAAGCTGCCAGCCCAGCTGCCCTCCTGACAGGCGTGACACAGCTGACTGAGTTTTGCTTTTTATCTCCATTTTGTGACTACGTGCGTGGTAACCTTGGCTGGATGTGACTGTTCCCAAGTGTCCTGGTGTGTTCCTGGAGGGTACTTTTGTCTCCATGTTTGGGGCCTAGGTCCAGCTTGTCTTTGGGCTGCACTGTGAGGCCTCTGGCTGACACTGGTCCTCTTTGCAGGCAGACTTGAGCGTCATGACCTGGCTGCTGCACTATGTGGACCCCTCAGATCCCAGCTTCGTGGTGGCCATCCTCACTATCGCCTTTGGTCCGTTTTTCTGGAATGTGGTGAGTACTCCTGCACCTGACACACTGCGAGTGAACCAGGCATGGGGGGAATTGCTGCTGTCCAAACGGACGGACAGATGGATTCTCTGTGCTGCCCTGCCCTCCCGCATCCGTCACCATCCTCTTCCTTACCTCCCTACCTCTCTTACTTGTTTCATGGAGGAACACTGAGAATTCCTGCCTCACACCAGCAGGCTGCCCTGGGCTGATGTTGGGTGGTCTAGGCAGTGGGGCTGTCACCAGAGCCTGGAGGAAGGCTGCCGATGGTAAGGACTCCTAGTACCTACGCCCTCTCATGGGAAGCCTTTTTGTTCAGGAGCCAGTTGCCTGGCTTGCGGGGAGCTGTCTTCCCTGTCTGCCCTGTCACACATAAGTCACTTTCTTGAAACCCCCTGGGCTGCTGTGCATTTTTCTTTTTCTGCACTTAGTCTTCTGCAAAGGAGCTTCTGCACTGTTGGGTGGCGGGAAGAGGCCCACAGGGCCTGAAATCCGAGGGCAGACAGGCACCATCTCAGTCTGGACACGAGGGGACATGTGGAGGCCTGAGGGCTTTGTGGTGGGCACTGGGCTTAGGCTGTTGGAGCAGGAGTAGAGAAGGGCCTGGCCATCAGCTCCTGCACAGCCTTTCCCCGAGACGCCCTCTGCTCCCATCAAGATTTCAGAGGAGCTACTTGGGGTCCCTGTGGGAGGTGGTCCTGGCTCTTTGCCAGGGCTCTGTGCTGTACCCCCAGCGATGTAGCCAAGCAGGTAGTTCCGGGGCTCAGAGCACTGGAGCTTGCTGATGCAGAGCCTCAGACACCGGTGATTGCCCTTGAGGCTAATCTGCAGAAGGCCAAGATCTGCGTCGGCAACACACTGTTCCTGTCTGTTTTCATTTAGCATGAGCCCTTAGTCCCAGGGCGGAACGGACAATGTTTTCCTCTGGTTTATGACTCCGGTCTTTTCTCCATCTGGTGAGAGGGGTGGTGGGGCGGGGGCAGGGCAGCTTGCTTCACAGCAGCCGCATCTTGAATGAGCTGTCCTTGGCAAGTATGTGGATCTCCTTATAGAGGTAGGTCCTGGCCAGCGAGCAGACCTCCCCTGCTCCCGACAGGCCCCAGCCAGAGGTAGCCCTGATGTGACCCCATCTTGCCAGCCAGGGTGGGTGCCAGTGGTGCCTGGTGCACTCAGCCTTGCCTCTGTTCCCCTCAACCTCCCTGCACAAGCAGAGCCAACTCCCCAGGTTGGGGACACTGAGGGTGAAGATGCTAATTCCACGCTCAGGCTTTTATAACTGTGAAAGACTATGTATCTATTGTTCTAGGCCACTAAGTTTATGGTACTTTATTATAGTGGCCACAGGAGATGAATGCAGGGTATTAGAAAAGCTGTTGAGCCAGGCATGGTAGTGCATGCCCGTAATCCCAGCACTTGGAAGGCTGAGGCAGGAGGATTGCTGTAAATTCAAACCCAGCCTGAACTACCTAGTGAGACCCTGTCTCAAAAAACCAAGAACCAAAACCAAAAACAACTCCCCCCAAGAATGAAAGGCTATTGATTCCAGCCAACACACTACTAGTCCTAACTAATGGGAGTGTGCATGCCCTTTCCTGGCCACAAGTTGTTCCCTGCAGAGGGCTTCCACAGCTGGCTGGAATCTTCATCCTCTGGCTCCTTGCTGGCCTGGTACCAGGTCTCTCAATCCCGTGGGCTGTGTTGGCCCAAGCACTGTGGCCCTGGGGACACTTTTATCAGACACAGGACCCCTTGATTGTTTCCTGATGGTCCTTCCAACAGTGAATTTTTTCCTACTTCATGTTGAAGCTGCATCATGGCCCATCAAGATGTCCAAAACAGGCTAGGCCTCAGATGTACAGATACAGTAAGATTGGAGGTAGGCGGCTTGCATCTGTTTTTGGCATAAGTGGTTTTTTTTTCTGTTGGCCATAAGTTTATGATTTGCCTCATGTTGAAAAAACTATTCATTGGAACAGCTTGTGGTCATTAGTGAGAAAGAGAGTGAGCTCTTCAAAGACTTTTCAGAATGAGGAAAGGGACATAATGTTGTGGTTCAGTGCTTCTGTAGGGTGGCACAGTAGCATCTAAAGGCAGGAGAAGCCAGGTTGAGGCTTTAGCCCCAGCTCTGTAAAGCACTGGAGAGGAGAAAGTAAAGAGGCCATACCTGTAAAAACACTTACAGAATAGTTATTAAATTTTAAGAGCTACCAATAGTTGATGGGACTTACGTAATTAGACATTGTGCAGGGTGCTTTTCATACAGTATGTCAATGAATCTTAACTGCAAATGCTCTTATTATTCTCCTTGGAAAATGGGGCTTGAAAAGTGTATTAGCCCATTTTGTGTTGCTGTAACAAAGTACTTAAGGTTGGGTGCTTTATATAGTGAAGAAGTTTTTTGGGCTCATGATTTCAGTAGCTTGGAGAGCAACCCAGCAGTCAAGGCCTGGTGGTGGCTTGCACCATAGTGGAGCCTTGGAGGTGGGAGGGATGGTCAGGAGAATCTGGCAGGACTGCAGCACCAGCGACATGGCCAACTCTGTGGCAGGGGCCTGAGTGACTGGTGGGATAATCTGGCCCCTTGGAGAAATGGGACATTGAAAGAGGGGAGGGATGTGGGGGACAGGGACTCAGTTTAGCTTATAGCAGATCAGTGATGTCCGGGAGCATTAGGAGGAGAGGTGGTTGTGTGTGGTTCTGGAAAAGTCCAGGGTGATTGGAACTGGAGAGTGGCCACTCTGGGCTGAGTGTGACTGGGGACCAGGTCTCTGGCTCTGTGCACCCCTCTAGGGCTACTACTGGGAGAAGGGGTTCCACAGCCTTGGGAACTTGGTGTGTCCACTCCCCCCGGAACTCATGGTCCTCTTTCCAGCCCTCTCTAGCTGGACCTTTGGGAGTTTCTCACGGTAGCCCTGCTGTCCCTGACACTGGCCTGCCAAGGTCCCTTCCTTCAGCTCTGGCTCCTCCTCTGCTCCTCTGTACCTCTCTTCTGCTGTCTCACACTCGTGTGTTTGCAGCTATCCAGACCTGCCACACAGCAGGCATTATTGTGCGCATTCTTGGAAAGCCAGTGAACAGTCTGACCTTGCGGGGCATGTATATGTGTGTAAAGGAAATGGGGTAACAGTGGGGGAAGAAAAGCTCAAGATGCTAGAGAAGCCATGAGGAAGGGGCTTCCCCCCATCACCTAGGTCGCCATCTGTGGCCCACAATGCTTTCAGAGTCCCTGGAGCCTGGGCCCCGCCCTGCAGGGAACTTCTGAGCGACGTCTTGCCTAGAACCCCCATGAGGAACGGAGGCTTCTTGATGTGTTCTTTCCAGCTCCACGAAGGAGGCCAGTGTAAGGCTGTGACCCCCTCACCCCTGTGTCTTGGTCTCTGCTCCACAGGCTCCACTTGTCTGTAGGTGACCACGTGACTTCAGACTCTGCCACACGGAGCACAGTGTTACACAACACTCGGTCCCCAAGCTCTGTGTGTGAGGAGGTGTCCCTATTTGCCTGTCCCTTGCTTCTGGCAAGCGTCCTCTGGGTCCCAGCCCTTCCTGAGTGACCTGCCCTTCTGGGCCAGGGATTCCTGAAGAGCCCGCAGCAGCCCTTATCAGGTGTGACTTCCCAGCCCCTTCCATTCCCTGCCCTGCGTGCTGCTGATCAGAGTTGCAGACACTGTCCCAGGTCCTGTAGGTTGCCCAGCAGTGTTGCTGTCCTCTGTCTGCTAGGAGTCTGTAGCACCACTTTCCAGACATCGCCAGGTGTCCCCCACAGGCCATAGTGGACAGGTGGTCTGAGTGCCCATGCATGTCTCCTGCATCCCTAAGCACAGACCCAGGCCCAGTGTCACTGTTAGCTCTTCACCCATCGCTCAGAGCACCCTGAAGTGCCACTGTGTTCCCCCTGGCATAGCTGCACCCTGGGCAGCAGGGGAGGACTCAGCACCATCCTGCCTTGGTGCCCCCAACCAGGGGGGTGCCCAAGTAGTGTGGGTTTCATGAGTATGTATTGGGCTTTTCACCAGCTTTGTGTGCTGCATCTTGTGGCTGAGGTCCATTTCTGTTTGGAACATTTTGGCTCACATTCCTGACTTTGTGGAAGAAAACGACGCTCCTGGGGAGTAGACATGGTGCTGTCTATAGCAGACATAGCCATCGCATCACCAGAGATGAGACAGGCCACTCTGTGTGGCTCTAGCCCCGTCTCCACCCTGGGCCGGAAGCCACGGAGCCAGTGCCAGGGTCCAGTGGTGGCTGTGAGGGCTGCTGTTGTTTTTAAGAGTAAATCGTGTACACACGTTGCTGTCTCTGTTCTCATCAGAGACAGACTGCTTGTAACCCACACGAAAGCTGAGAGAGACATAGTGTGTGTAAACACCATGGCAAACTGTGGTGGTCTGCAGAGGGGGTGGCCCAGCGTGTAATTTCCTCCCATTCCCTCTAAGAGAGGCGTGAAAGGGTTACTGTTATGAATCTAGCTGTGACAACAGGTATTCAGGGGACCAGATGTTTCCTGTAGGTGTGGGATGCTTCAGAATATGCCTGGTGAGGTCACTTCCAGCCCACTCACTGCTCCCGGCTCTGCCGGGTTGGACAGGCCATTCCCCCAGGGTCAGCACAGTCCCTTTCTCTGCAGCCTCCTGTCCCCTCGTCTACAGGGATGTAGTCTGGGGCTGCAGGAGCTTGCCAGGGTGACTCGGCGCCCACTGTCTGGTCCTCACTCCCACACCAGGACAAAACTCCCTGGACTTGGCCCTCGGCAGTGGGTTGGCAGGGGGTGGACCCTGTCTCCGCATCAGGACACCCACCCGCCCTGGCTGGAGTGTTCCTGGTTGTGGCCTGAGGGTCCTGCCTCCTGGAACTCTCAGTCCTAGACAGATAGGACTGGTTGTTGCCCTCTCCTGGAAGACTGGTTTGGGAAGAGGTGGTGGGACGGGGAAGAGGGCAGGGACTTGCTGCTCTGAGCCATAACTGGCAAGCTGGCAGGATGTCCACAATGGGACTCTAGCCCCGCT